TTATGTAAGATGTATTTCATTTTCCTTTTTGTTAGTAATGAATACGTTAGCAGGTTTACTCTTTTTGTCGTGTGGGTCAAGAACTAACCTGTGCATATGAAGTTGAATATTAGTGTATTTATCAAGTTGTAACTAAATCATGAAAGATTCTTGTATTGACAAATTTGTGTCTGTACTTCTACTTTGATAATGAAATGGAGGTCAACGTAGCATTCACAATAGATAACTCTAAATCATATTAAGCATCAATTGACTAGAATCATAGTACATTACGTTTCTCTATGGGTTTTTTAATGCATACGCAATTGACAAGAGGTGTCACAATAATGTGGTATTTTCATTTTGTGACCTAAGCAAGAAATTTTGCAATGATAACTGACTATTTAAATAGATCATTTTAGTGATTTGACAGTGTTATTTCACAATGAATCATTCAAGTTTATTTCATATGCTGTTTATTCAACATGCCTAAGTGAACTTTTGAATTATTTTAGTTGACGTCGTAAAACTCTTTACATATTTTCTTATTTTCTATAATCCTTATACTTTAACTATACCATTGAAATGATACCATGAGCTGACAAAATAGTTTAAAACAAACAATGAATAATTATCAGGAATAAAAACGATTGACTAATTTTGTACTTGTAGTGATTTTTACATTGAATTATGATTGATTCGAATGTATTATGAAGTGATTAGATCTATAATTGTTTTGCTTTATTTTAAGTATTTTGTTATTAATTTTATGTGACAGTCAAAACTCACATTTGATGACTGTTTTAACGTCACCACAAATATTTTTAAAGTTAGTTGATTTAAAACAATCCCTAGAATAAATTCACAGTTGTTCGTAAAATAAACAACATCATGATAGGGAATTTTCTTCAACTCCGTGTTTGTATTTTAAGTGAGAAATTGATTTAATGAATGGTACAAAATGTCTTGAAAATGCTGATCTACAATAAATGTTATGCTAAATTAAATAACTGTTGACCAACGTAGTAGAATCGCATGCATCGAAAACGTTTCTTGATTTTCAATGCTATCCTTACAGATAGGTTTAATAAAATACTAAAGTATCAAACACGTAATTCACCAACATTATACTCGTCCTTCTAAACTTTAAGTGTAGAAGTGAGAAAACGTCACAAACCTTAGTTTAATTTAGACCAGAATGTAATATCATGGCATTAGTTAACTGTTAATTGTTGTGAAATCAAATACGGAATTCCCATTTGTCTAGAAGACGTGTATAAGTTGCCCTGGTGAACATAGAAACGTTTATCTCACTGTTTCAGTCTGATCTAAAATAAGTTATTATTCAAACGTCGTTTACATATTATACCTTGTTCATTTGTATGGTAGTAAAAGTGCTAGACATTTAAGCAATTGATTACAAGGTAAGTATAATAATATTTATTAGCCACCCTGTGGATAGAATTATTTCCCAATCCAGTTTAGTCAGCAGCACGATGTCAGCTTTCATGGGAGAAAATCGTAAGCTTTATTGTAATAACATAACTGCTGATAAACCCACTGTTTTTAAATAGCTGAGTTTTATAAACCCATACACTAGACTGAGATTTACTTTGTAGAATCGTCTGATATTCACAATAATGTGCGTTAGTTACTGAAAGGTACAAAAAATTCATTTCTTAATTGAACTAATTTAAGCAAATACAACTATGTTTTTGTCATTCATACTAACTTATCCTTTTAATATTATCTTAAATTTTAATTCATAAACAAAGCATAATTTTGAAGTTAGATAGTCTGTCACATGATTAGCATGGTATTTTGTAGTACTCGTCAAAAACAAGAAAACAAAACACATAAATATTGTAAATAACACAAAAAATTTACAAGCAGTAAGAAATGATAGTGTATTTTTATGTTAAACATATGCGAACGTTTGCTAAATCCAAAGTATGTCTACCGATATTTAATAGCTACACAAGTTATAGGTTATACTTAATAAACTTACTACAGGAAGTATATACCATGTGTATATTACAATATAACTAAATTTATCCCCAATAAGGCTGATGGAAGAATTATTTAGTTTTTAAAATAAGTCGAATATATTATTTAAATTTAGTCATATTATTTTGAAGGGTATTTCATTCAAATTCTTTTTCACTAATAAATACACTTTGAAATAAAAACAAACTTTAATCACAAGTTATGGTTCGTTGGTTATACCGTGAATTTGTACACATTATGATATCAGTGTAACATAAACGTGATTTACTTCAAGTCTTCAAATAAATATAGATAAACAAAAGTTAATTATACGCTTTACTCAGTGTTATATATATATATCTTAATTGTTGTACTTTTATTGATAGAATTTTAAAAAAGTAAGAAAGAAATAGTTGGTTAAATAAAAAAATAAGATGGTGGCCATTTTTAACAATTCTTTGATTCAAACGTTCAACAAATATGCCAGACAAACTGATTTAAACAACAAATATCCAAAGTTAAGTACACTATTTGTAAATTGGATTAAATACTACTTCTCTTCCATTGGATTAAATTACGTTCGTTGTAAGTGCGAATAGTTTCTTATCTAATGTAATAGAGCATTATCACTAAAGTGTGATTATTAAATAATATTTGTAAGCTAAATGAAGTAATTCATTATTTTTCCCGTAGATAAACCCTCGAATGAGAGAATACATTATCTTTTAAAATAAAGGTAACAAACATAGTTAATATCCAATATACATTTACCTTATTTTTGTTTGTACCAATTTTAACTTGTGTTGAATAAAAACATAAACTCTGAATCTTCTCTGAGAAATAAATAATCATTTTATAAATGTACTATTTGTCTATTCAGTAATAATCCTGGTTGAGGTAAAAGAAATCCTTATTGAATTTTATCTCGGTATGTTAATCATTAGGATTTCGTCGAACCTTTGGGTTGTCATAAAGAGGTTTTAGAAAAATCAAGTCAATGAGTATATGAACATGCTATTTTTGCACATATAAATTTTCATTAAAAAGTAAGCGACATGGAAAACAGCATTTAAATCATTTTTACTTAATGAATCCGATTGTCAAATATGATCTACCATTAAGGTTCATGATTACATAGCTAGCAGTTAATAAAACATTGCCACGAGGTTTGACTTAGTCCTTTTATGTTCACTAATAAATTATTCCCAAATTGTCAATATATAATTCAGTTCTAATGAATATAGCCCTACGGGAAATTTTGAATGATATAATGTGTTGATTATTCCCCACAAAGTTTCTTATCCATCAAAAATTGCATTCGTCATATCAATGATCTGAAATCAAACTGATAAATGAACAAATTAGTATTTTTTAGGGTAGTTCGTCCTACGGTTCTGTGTCTTTGTAAACAATAATTGAAACAGTAATCAATATTTATATGAAGTTTATAACATGAATTCATTATGCTATCAATATAATTTATAAACTAGTGTTTTGTATAAAAGGGCTGTTCAGTCTAAGTTTCCCTTCTTGAAAAGATTGTAACCAAATAAGAAAGAAAATTTGAGCAGACCTAATTCTACTGATTTATAATAGAAAAAATGCACTAGTATACTTATGTACTGGGCACTTTTTTCGGCCTAATAAAGGACTACTGACCACGGTGTACCTAACTCAAGACCTTCGATCTTGCGTGAGGAATCTTAACTTCTAGATAATTTGGGGCAACTTATATGTTAAAGCTCTCGGCTATTAGTCACTAAGTTCCAAGTTCAAACCGCACTCTACCCTGTTTCGGTTTGCAGAACCATCAAGCATCACTAGCCCTGAGTACTCATACTGATTGACTTCAGTATAATCTACGTTCTCAAATCAGTGAATTCCAATAACCAGTACAGGATGTAAAATATCAATCTTAAATGTTTTACTGAATAAACCGATAGCTCTGAAATATCAAACCAATGACTTGACCTTTATAGGTAGTATTAATCAATGTAAATGAATTTCGAATGGATTATGTATAAGCTGAATTTTTGTAGGCCTATCGATATGTGTAGATTTTGTGTGTTTATTCTTATCTAGTGTAGTACTTGTTCAATATTAAGAGCTTTTAGCTTAGAATAAAACAACTGGCTAGTGCATGTTGTTTTATTACAACATTTTAAATGAAACAAACTTTTTGAAAGTCATTGTTATTCATATTTACAAAGTTTTCAAAGTAAATTACTCATTATGTTCAGACTCCTAGTTAATTTAATTTATTGAGAAATTTTAATTGAAATTAGATTTTCAAATGATCAGTTTTTACCCCGGACCTTTTTATTTAGATTTTTATATCACATTAGCTGGCACTTAGGTAGATGTTTTTACCAAGTATAAATATATTGTAAGTTGTCTTTTTCTTCGAATAACTTTCTAAAAGAATAACAGAATTAAAATTAAATTGTAATTATATAATTTGTTATTTTTTATGGAACAATTATAATTTATAAGATATCAATAAGGTCGTAAAGTCTGTTAAGAATATATTTAGTTGTGTGAAACAACTGCATCCATTTTCGGCCTTTCTTTTAATGTGAAGTAAATGAAAAATTTGATACATTTCCAAAGAGATTTGGTGTTGAGTTACAACACAAGTTTATATTTCACTCATTGATTGACGAGAAAATTCTATTGTAAAGATAATATTTACCTTAAATTGGCATATAGTGGAAAAACGTTTGAAAATGGATACCAGAGTAGCGGACAATAGTTTAGACCCAGTTTTGGATTTCAGTTGTTTGCTATCAAAATGATTAAAACGCAACTAAAACTAATAATGTTCACAAAGAACACAGAAATAAACCAAAATTATGAAAAGATATTTAAATGAAGTTTGTGTTAATATGTGGTAACAAAGAAATGCATTCAGTTGAAAATATAATTATTGTTGACAAAATTATTTCTAATCCACGTTTCTTGGTAAACACATTGTATCAAGTAATTTTGCTCGAGTTGACAATTTCTGTTATTTTATACATTAAAATTTTTTTTAGAGAGAATGAATGCTTTGTGGCATGACGGTTCTTGGGATCCTTCTTGGGATACATGGTGGCACTATAAAGAAGGCGTAATGGGAGGTATGGTTTAAGTTTTGTTTTAGTTGATTTTCCATATTCCACATATAAAGTTGAATGAATATTTTAACATCTTTTATAGCATAGTCTTTATAAACTGCATATAGAAAATGGATTGATATATACATAAAACAGCGTTTTACTTTAACATGACAATCAAATTCGTAAAATTAAGAGTGATAAGTTAAAATGAAATTAACTTTTATTATCCAGTATGATAAGAATAATAGATAAACAACAAACAATTATCACTAATGATTTTATTTGTCAGCATTTAACAATAAAAATGATTTATTTTTACATTTGATTAAAACAATCTAAATTACTGTTAAACACCATGTCAGTTTTAGTACAAATATATTGATTCAGTTCGCAAAGTACAACTGATCCATCGTGTTCTTAATTCTCATTTTTTAAGGATCATTCATAGACAGTAAAATATTACTGTATAATTTACATAACCTTAAGCGTTTACTGTTCTTAATTTGGCAATTTAAAAATTCCCATAGAATATTTAGAAACAAAAAATATTTGAGCTAACAATCGTTTTCAATCATTTTATCATTTGTTTGTGTCGGTTGTTTGAATCCTCATTATTGATCTTTAGGACTGCAGTCGATAAGTTTCTTTTGCGATATATGGATCCCGTGCGGATTGCCTCAGTACTACCGTCAAGAAAAGAGCATTGTTCATTAACGTCTCAATTTAAATCTGGTGGCACTTATAGTCCAAATATATCAAAATTTTAAATGATTTCAATTTTCATAATGTTTATTTGATGTGATGAAAATGATGAAGCATTACTAATACTCTAAGAATCTATTTCAAGATAATGTTTTTTCTGAAGTTAATTCACTTTAAGATGTTTGAGCCTTATGTTTGATATCTAACATATACGTCAGTATTTAGTTAAATGAAAATGACGAGCTATTTTTCCAATAATAAGATTTTTATCGAAAGATAAATTGAAGTGTACCAATTAATTATTAAACTCCAATAAAATAGCCGTTTATAAATCAAATTTTGTCTAACCATCTTTTTCAATTTTAAGCGCAACGTTTTCATAAAGAAAAAAACACTGAATTTCCATTGTTATGATTAATACGGCATATAACTTTAGAAATATTTTGATCCATTTTCTACTAGGTCCGAGTCATTGGGGACAGACAGCTTTCATGGCTATTGCCAATGACGTTTGGCCAGCTTGTTATCAAGGAAAAATGCAATCTCCAATCAGTATCTCCACAAAACATCTGCTATTTGATCCTAATTTGGTGCCACTGAAAATTTCAGGTTCAGATAAGCAAGTAAGTGTGAGCCTAATTATTTACACCACAGTGAATTCTTAGATATTTCGTTCTATATAAAGTGTCAGTTTAATTAGATGAAAAATAAACAACTGAATTCAGCACTATTTCAGAGGCTGAAATAAAAATTGAATTTATTGTCCATTAAAAGTGTTAAATTTACAAACTCTAATGAGAAACATGTATCTAAGTAAATGTTCCACTGTTCCACTGATATAATATGAAAGCTAGGATAAAGGACAGTAAATTGTTCAAATATACTGATTAATTCTCTAAATATTTTTAGAGAACGTTTTAAGTATGAATTGACTAGTTTCTGAAATGTGTTTGTTGGGTTTTGCAGTTAACTGATCTTTTATTCATATACGAACATGAGAAATCAACCATGAGTGAAATATTTGCTAAAAACGCAAATCAATTCCTGCTAATGGCTGCATGTACGTAAAAAAACATACAAAGAAATTTACTAGTCTTAAATTGTGGAAAATCTCTATGAGATCCAAAAATTTGAAGATAAGCATTCCTACTAAAAGCGTCTTCAAAAGAAGAGAGGATTCAATTGAAGACTACAAATTCTGAGCATTCTATAAGTTGTAATAACTGCATGAGTCTTGATTCGCATTATACACAGCTAAAAAACATCTCTGTTTGTATAATTGTTTAACTGACATTCAAGTTGTTTACTTCTAAATTATGTACTTCAGAACATTTTACGTTGTAAACCGAAGATCTAACCAAATTTGCTAGTGTAAAATTGCTTGTTATTCAAACCTAAGTTAGTTTAATTCCATCAGTAGTAGAGCACAGTAAATGATGAAAAGTTACATCTCGATTTATTAACTCTTATTTACATTTTTTAGATTGATGTGGAGGTAGTGAATACAGGACAAGATTTACAGGTGAAAATCCTCGATTCAATAGCATCAATTGTATTCAGTGAAGGACCATTAGTATATAACTATAAATTCTTTGGAGCTTTAATCAAATTTGGCTCAAGATCAGATCGTGGTTCAGATCACCAGATTGATGGTATTGCTTTTCCCGCTGAGGTATCTGTCTACTGCAGAATTAAAAAAATACTTCGTATTAAATCTCATATTTATCTTTTGAAACGGTTAGTCGTTCCATCCATCACTATAGATAAATAGCTGGTAATAACCAAATAGATTGTATTATGTAAAGTTAGTTTGTTTAGACATTATGTTCGCTTAAACCTTCAAAATAAAAATGATAATGGATTATTCAACCACACTGTGTCCCTATTCATTCAACAACACAAAATATTGCTGTTGTAATTGGACTCTTACTCAGTATGAACCTGGTTTAACATCTGATTCTAATCGACATATTCACTAACTCTTATATCATATGGGGATAGCTTTCTGACTGCTTAGCTAAGACCGTGTTTCATTACATGTAATTATCTGAATCGGTTTATGTTATAACGTTTTAAATAATTTAACGACATAAACTAAATTATGTTTATACTGGTATTACGCACTTCTTCTTTTGAATATTTATTTCACAGCTACAACTATATGCATTCAATTTTATTTTATACCAAAACTTTTCTAACGCACTTTCAAAACCAAATGGCTTAGCTGTATTATCTGTTCTTTTTAAAGTAAGTTTATTATGTTAGTTTTCTTCCTAATACGCCGATAATTAACATAAAAAAGATTTACTAGTGGATATAAACTAAATAAAAAAGGTACATAAATTGCCGTCTTGAAAAATTGGAACTATTTATTATTGTTACATTTATTTGAGAAACAAAAGTTGTGTTAGTTTGAATGCATTTCTGACAACATATATGTATATAAAAATATATATTGTTGCTAATTATGTAAGTAAATATACATTTTATCAAATGTAATAAACATTATCATTGTTTAGTGTTGTTTGAGAATATATTGACATGTAAAACTAAATGGCAAACTGTATAATCTATCAACGAGATAGGAGCAATGACCCAGTGATTAAGTCTTTTGATCCTCAATTAGCAAATTGCGTGGTCGAACAACTCGTCATATATTTCGGTTAAAACAGCCGTATGGTATTAACAGCAATGATATTTAAAATGTGGCTCCAATCCAAGTATATGAATGTTTGTTCATTAGATGAGTTGTGGAGAAAATCGACGAATGAGGAACCTGAGATACATTTTCTCACTCTGGTGGGATAGACCTGCTGTTAGATTACCTTAAAACAGTTATATATATATAACATAATGTTATGGTCATTAGGACGATAGATTAGTTTAATCTATTTAAACAATCTAAATTCAAATACTTACAACTGAAGGACTGACTTGATACCTGATCATTTTTAATATATAAGTAAGCTGAATACCCATTAAATCTGATTAAGCTTTATGACATCAAGAGCTTTATTTGTATTAATTACGGACCATTAACAATCAGTATATAATTATATATACATAGTGCCTGTCACTTATGCTGATATATATAAGTAGTAAGTAGCACTAATCAGAAGTGGAATGCTTGCCAAAAGAAGATTGAATTGAACTGAGTAGGAAGGGAAACAAAGAGCGATTGGAGTGACAACAGAACTGAAAGAATCAAGAAATACTTTAATAACATCTGAAGGAATATGTGAGAACGATGTACTCAGTCTATGGATTTCATATTTTACGAAAGCACTCTGTAATCTTTCATAAGACAGTAAATTAGTCAACCCCACCTAAGTTTTCGTTGACTATATATATATATATATATATATATATATATATATATATATATATATATATATATATAATATCTGAACAAGTGTTCTCAATAAAATGAGCCATATAGTTCACAAATTGCCATAATTTTTTAATGTCAGTCTTCAGAATGACTGAATTAAGTTGATTGATTCTCCACAAAAAGCTAGTAAGAAATCTATTTTTTAAACAAAGTTGACCAGTACAATAAATAGAAATTAACTGTATCAAAATTATTGACTAAATTAGTTTCAATTAATTTATTTCTGTAATCTTTCAGATTGGTGAGCAATCATCATCTGATTTGGAAGCATTACTATCTACGGCAGAGCAGGTTCAATTGAAAGGTATACTCTAGTCCAACTCTTTTGATAAAAGTTAGCATGCTTACTGCACTATATTTTGAAACGATAACAATATATCAAAGTAGATCGCCCTATGAAATTAAACAAACCGTATGAATCTATTACCTTGATTCATAATATTTCTTTGTTGATAAAATAGATTATAGACACTAGTGTGCTTAGTTGTAATAAGTATAATAAATACCGTTCTCGGAAAGCTGTTGAAGTTTGTTTGTACCACTTACATGCTCGACAAATTGTGAGTGACGTTCCACGAATTATGGATTTTTATAATCATCTCAGATACCTATCTAATGAGATAACATTATTATTTAATATCATTTCATTCAAAGTTATCCTGTCAAACAGAATAAAACAACTTAACATAAACAGACATTGACAACCCACAACCGAATTCGTAAATAATGTGCATTAGCCAGAAAATAAAAATGTCCTCTATAAGCATATTACTAAAATTGAATATTATTACTGAAGAATGAATTGATAATTAGGTAGATTACTTTTGTCAGTTCGCAGAAATTTGATTATCATTATCTACAGACTATTATGAATTTAGATGGAAATTGACAGACAGTATTTGCATAAAAGAACGTAACTTTTATTGTGCATAACATGTTATCCTATGTATAATAAATAAGATGGCTAGAAAATAGTTTCAGATTTCTGTTTGTTGCCTATATTCGATTATGTAGACATACGCAATATCTAATTGTTTTTTTGATTATTCTTAATTGTATTCAAAAACAAATGTTCTTTAAAGGACAATCTAAAAGGCTTCATGGTTTGTTGTTGGATGCTGTTTTACCGTCTACTATGCAATATATGACTTACCAAGGCTCTTTACCATTTCCTGCCTGTTATGAGACTGCAACATGGATTTTGCTTAATCAACCGATTGTAATTACAGAAACTCAGGTGAGACAACATAAAATCACAATTCATAGACCATTTTTAATAGCTCCAAATGTGAAAAAAATTGTGTTGAATAAATTATCCTAGCAACTAGGCTTATAACGAAACTGTAATTATAAGTTTCCTATAAAGAATAAATATATTCAAATTAAGAGCTGATCATAGACTACCATTGAAAACGTGGATGCACTAGACGTCTGTTTTATAATAACAAGAGACTCCTCAGCAGTGTACATCAACGACCCTGCAAACGGCAATCGAGCTCAGGACTGCCGTCTTGTATGTAATCATATATGGCATAAACTTTCATAATAAATATTAACAAACCTAAATTAAAACAATTAGTCTCATTGAAAAATTTCGCTAATGCAATGAGAAGACAAAGTTTATCAGAATTATGTGATATATTTGCGCAATTAGTTGGTGGTTGGACCCGGGTTTCTTGCTACTTGGCACTCGTCAGCAATGTGTACCTGTAATCTTGAAGGAACTGGTGCTCCCTGACAAATTCGATTCCGTGTCACCCAACTTCACAATCAGAGAAGTTATCACTGAGTTATCCGGGCCGCAACCGTCCTCCTGTAGGACTGAGATGTAATCACAATTGATTGATATTTGCGCAATACATTTTTAACAGTCTGATCACACATATACTTGTTAAGATATTTTTATATGAAAAGATCAACTAGACAGGTGAAAGATAAGCCGTAACAAAACAATAAATTACACGAAGACAATATGATAACCACTCTGGATAACAAGTCAGTATTACCAGGGTAGGTTGAGGGTAAGAACAAATTATATTTGAACACATTAACAGGGCTTCATTTTCCATATAGCCAAGGCGTCAATAAAAATTAGTATACGTCCTCCAAGGCTTTTGTGCAACACTACAAATGCTGACGTGATGTCAACCTTATGACCAGTCTCAATCAAATGTTTCGCGATGGAGGAAGACATCTGTCTATCCTGTGATCTTATTCGACCACTGGAATTCATTTGCTTTCGTAGCCATTTTGGTATGTGTTCACCCACCCTTAATTGCAGATCACGATTGTTCCTCCCTACGTACGTGTTTGATAGACACAATGGAATATGACACAGTTGCTTACATGCTGTTTGGGTTTTCAGTAAAATGTAAACCTTGTCTTTCAATAATGACAATTTGGGCTGCATAAAATGTCTGGTTGGTGGTTAAATATGACTAAATTATGGATATAACTAACAATTATTGACCAACTAATTAATAATAAGAAAATGATGGTTTCTTACACTGCCTTCTAAAATATCAGCGTCACATGCTACGGTTGGACGATAGCATAACTAGTCTTCTTACCAACTGACTGAATTATAATGGTATTATAGTCAATATTAATAATTATAAATACCCCTGTTTTTCTGCAAAATTTTGGTTCCTACCCAATAATCACTTCCACTGCTTCTTTCGTCTTCTGGTTAGTAACTGTGGGATTCTACACTTTCGACTGCCGTTAGTTGTATATCGTATCCTGTCATAATCAAGTAGAGGACGTAAAAATGGCGATTAACTTCAGCCTTATCTGACATTAAAATTCATTTGGAATGAAACTGTGAACTGCTTTCCATGCACGGCCCCACAGTGTAGAACTTCGTAAGAATTCTACCTGATGCTGCCGATCTTCTGAATTATACCATAATGTTGGAGGTGCTTCCATAGGATTCTCTTATCATTACAGCCAAATGCTTTCTGTTGATTGTTTGAAGATGATCCGTAGTTTAGCTATTTAATCCATGAACGATCGATCCTTGTTGATCTCGAAGCTAGGTGTCTAGGGAATATTTTATCCAGTTCAGAAACAATCTGTTAAAACCTTTTCCTGATACCGACAGAAATGTGATGCCTTTGTAGTTCTCCTACCTGATCAGATCTCCCTTCTTTGGTGTCTTGATATAATAACTTTTACAGTCCGTTGGTACGTATTCTTTCTCCAAAATCCTTCTAAAGAGAATGTGCAACATCTTTGGGATTAATTCTATGTCTGGCTTCAGTGCTTCAGCTAGTACGCTGCCTGCTCCTGCTGCCTTTCTACACTAGATGTTTCTGGTGGCCATGCTAATTTCTTCAGTTGATGATGACGCAGAACCTATAGGAAGGTCTGTATGTGCTCCTTTGATGTCTGATATGCTCGTTGTGGCTTATCTATCCAAGAGTTCTTCAGTGTTCTTTCTATCTATTCCCCTGTCGTTGAATCTTAGTGATTAATTCGCTTTCTTTGCTCTTGACTGGTCACACTGTTTTACTATGTTTATTTGTTATCAACCTGATATTTCATTTTTCGTGTATTCTGTTCTTTTATCGATACAGATGAATAAAGAAACACTATCTATTATATAAGTTACTACCCGACAAATATGTTTAATGAAGATTTTTAGTACGAAATCAAATGAGGATTGAGGTATCGTGTGTATTGTGTGCATGAGAGTTACGATCATAAAGAAAGTCCACTACAGATAATTAAGAATCGAAAGATCTATGAAAGCTAATTGTGATGCTCCTATAGGAGAATTGTTGGTTTGCATAAAATATTTCAGGATTTTAAAAAAAGCTATTAGATATTGTTAACGAATGGTCTCATAAAATACAGATATTGAAAACCAAACAACTAATTAGTAAAGATTATTCTAAATACAAATTTGCCCAGAGTAATTAATGTGTACATTGTTTGGCATATAGAAATTTAGCCATATACTTCATTTTGATTAGAAAGTTATCTCTAAAATTACTCCGGATGTGTAAAATGCTTTATCATATAAATATGGTTAGTTTATACGAAATTATTAAGTGGATATTATTTTCATGCCAAATTTTCGGGGAAATGTACTTGTTCATTTGAATGTTGTATCATTCAAATAAAAGAATGAATGTGTTTTTCACTTATTATTACTCATGAAAAACATACATAAATCCAGCTCGTATATTATGCTGAAAATAATTTAAAAAAGGGGAACGAATATCCTAGAATCATTCAAACAAACGAAATCACATGCTAATAATCAGTGGTTATTTTGTTACTGGAATCAATTGTTGCATGAAACTAATCAGAACTTCAAAAATATGAATAACTTACCAACAATTTTGATTTGAAATGTAACATTTTGCAGTGATATATTCGTTTAAATTTTTTAATGCTTTTGCTTAGTCAGTATGGTCAACAAAACTATATTGAAAGGGGTATCTATAACGTTATTGTTGCCTCCTAAATAAATTATCTCTAAAGAACGAATATGTATCTGTTTCTATCTTATCGCGTCATTATCTTAGCTAAAATCTCTTCGTCAACTTCGGATAGCGCCATTTCGAGGATCAGGCAGCATGGCTGATAATTACCGAACCGTTCAAAAATTGAATAATCGATCAGTTCGAACAAACATTGATTTTAGAAAAAGTGTAAGTATGTTTGTTAGTTATATTATATACTAATTAGTCAACCTATGAGATAACTGTGGTTTCATACGAAATATTTTGATTAACTCTATTTGTTCGGTCTTATAAAGCTTAAATAATGTACATTTAAAATTGTTGTTTATTGACATAAACTTGACAGATTCATATGCACTTCCGAACTTTCATATATCAATGGTCTTTTACATGTCTTTATTTTATACGAATGAAGTGCTTTCTGAATATATATATATATATATATATATATATATATATATATATATATATATATATATATATATATATATATATAACTAATTAGAATAATACGTTTCAGAAATCATAACAGTCCAAATATTAAATGGAAAACACGAAGTTATATGATAAGGTTTTCATTAGATGACTTTCGTGCTAATACAAAACGATCTAGAAAAACTTACTTAATTACTGACGCCTGTTACTCCCAATGGAGCATAAACCGCCGACCAGTATTTTCGAATCCACACTGTCCTCGGCCTTCCTTTCCAGTTCTGTCCAATTTTTGTTCATTTTTTTCATGTCTGTCTCCATTTATCGACGGACTGTGTTCTTTGGTCTTCCTCTCCTTCTTCGGCATTGAGGATTCTATGTGAGGGCTTGTCTTGTGACGCAGTTCAGTGCTTTCCTCAATATGTGTCTTATCCATTTCCAGCGCTTCTTCCTGATTTCTTCCTCCACTGGGACCTGATTTTTTCTCTCCCACAGTAGATTGTTGCTAATAGTGTCCGGCCAACGAATCCGAAATATTCTGCGTAGACAACTGTTAATAAACACCCGTATCTTCTGGATAATGGCTTTCGTAGTTTTCCAGGTTTCCACCCCATACAGTAGAACTGTCTTCACATTTGTAATAAAAATTCTGACTTTGGTGTTAGTTGCCAATTGTTTTGAGTTCCAGATGTTCTTCAGTTGTAAATATGCTGCTCTTGCTTTTACGATCAGCGCGTTTACATCTGCATCAGATCCACCGTGTTCATCAATGATGTTGCTCAGATATGTAAAGGTGTCAACTTACCTTAAATTGAAACAATCTAAATTCTTTATGTTATTCATTTAGATCGTTGTAGAAAAACCAAACTACACTCAAAATAATTAACGAAAAACGTTCACAGTCATTTGTAAACCATTTAAATTGAAATTAGTAGTGAGAGTGTTGTTAGGTTCAACAACAATATGATGACAAGTGTGTCAAAATTATTCTCTAATTATAGGAAATTCTAGTTATGCATTGATTATAAGTTTAAAATGAATTGTTTATTTTTTCATAATGTAATATCTTGAATTCACTTTTGTATAAAGATTTACATAATTTATATTTTGGTTTATTTTACAGCAATCCTACTGTTCAATACAAGCTCAGAGAACTTATTTTGGTAAGATGATGTTTATGAGTTACATTGAATGATATATTTTTTTTATATATTTGATATAAGTAAGTACGAAAAACACTATTTTGATATTTATACAACGCGTTACTTATCTATTCGTTAAACCGACAACAAACAGTTTTTAAATTGACAGAATACAAAATTCGTTTAATCATATGATGATTTACCCACAGTAATAGTGAGTACTATATGTTTTTTAAAAGTTATCAGCAATTTATGTCATATAGTACGTATATTTCCGTTTTATAACTCAGAGGATAGTTAAATGGACTCATTTCTCGAAGAGAAATAAGAAAGAGTATCAATAACATACAGGTACAGGTCAAATTAACTATCAGTATACATTGTTTGTTGTGGTTATATTGTGAGTTTTCTGAGAACAAAAGAATATATATGTCGAATTATATCTCATGATATTTTTTAAAAAAAAATAAATACAGTCTTCTTTAAAATACAATTAAATGAATATTATTATTTCATTCCCTTTTTTTACATGCATTATTACAACATTCTGAAAATATTACAATATAATTTGGATCTCTGTGATTATGATGATTATTTAATGATCAACAGCAGCTTCATTGCCATAATTTAACATTCCAAACGTCTTAATTATTCTTATTTTTGCATATATATACATAAGAAATGATTTTCATTTGATCATTTTTTAATAGGTATTCAAACGAACTGTTAATAATATGTCTCTATAGACTAAGTTTATTTTAATATGTAAAGAATTATACAGTTATCGGACAGCTTTTTTTTATTTATAATATTTTTTAAAATCTACCTCGTCATCAGGTATTTGGAACGATATAAAAATATTTTGATGTAATAATATATGTTCTAAACAGTTATTCTTAGTTGTTTACTTTGTCTAATGCATTTAACTATCATTAATTTCACTATAATTAAGTTCTGAATATTTCTGTGTATAATTATATAACTATCTTTTTTATGTACGACTGTATATTTCTGCATGTATATATTTATTATTGTATATTAGAAAAAAAAATCTTTGCCTAATATTACTTATAATCATTGTCTTTTGATCTTTTTCAATTAGTTATGTTCATATGTAATTAAGAGGAAAAAATAAATATTTTAGAATGCTTACGACAGTTTCTACCCAGGGACTAAATCATATTATATAAGTAAATGGAAATATGATGTAAATCGAATAATGTCCCATAATTAAAGTTAACAAAGACTGGTAAATAAAGGTTCTTGTGCAATAAATAAGAAAATTCACGGCGGTTACGTAACTGCTAGTTTCTTGATCAAGGTAACATCATGATATATGCTCACTGCTTTATTAAACTGAGATTGCGTATGACACGCAATGATATTTTGAAAGGAAAATAAAGCAAATCAGTGGAAATCTGTAAAAAAAACCACTGTAAATGATCATTATAGACTACTTTAAGTATTTTAGTATATTAACTTGATTACGTGTAGACAAATTGACATTTTACCAAACGAGAAGTGTATTAGCATACTAGGTCGGGACACATCGGACAGTACTCGCTCTGTTGACACACAAATAGCCTACTCACATCGATCCAAGGAGGAAAGACCGATTTCAAAGAGGTTTCTTTTAAATAACAACTCAAGAAAGAAAGTTTCCTCTATCCCTCGTCCTCTAAATGGTTGTCGGCAGGAAACGCCTAGGAATCTTAACCGCAAGGTTAGATCTGTTTCTAACAGGAAAAGCAACCTGACTGCCCATGTCGTCGATAACCTTTCGGAATCCCACAGTGTGTTTGACGCGACTGTAGTTGACACTCAAAAGAAAGTTGATGAATGGGTACAGGTCGAGGACAAGAAACGACATAACGGTATTAAAGAAAACCCAACCCCCTAAAAAGTAGCCGAGAAATTAAAGACTGATCACAGTGACAAGTCAATTATCTTTCATAGAATCAAGGATAGTGAAAGCTCAGATCCTAAAACTCACTTTGAGAATGACAATGGGTTGATAAAACAGCTACTAAAACAGCTTATGCCACAGGATATCTCCGGAGTCACCTTGCTAAAGGTGTATAGAGTGGGTAGTCAAACGAACTTGAAACGAAATCAAACCAGGTTGCTTAAAGTAGTATTTTAATAACCTACTGAACGGTACTCAATATTACAGAATGAACATAAAATAAAGGGTTCAGGAGTTCTTGTCTGTAAGGGCTTTTCACTCGCAGGCCGTGTAAAAAGACGAGAAGCCGAAAAGAAGAACTGAAACTTAGGTTAGATGCTTGCGAAAAGAACCTAAAACTTGTGAATTTTTGGGTTGTGAGGCTCCGATAGAGGATGAAGCCGAAGCCACTATGGGTGCAGCACAAAGCCATTTGAATAAGCTTCGGACCTGTTACAAAAATGCCTGAAGCTTTCACAATAACAGGTTGGAACTAGGTGTGCAGACTAAATCAGTCACAGAAAATTGTATGACGCAGGCCATAGATAATATGGAACTTGATTTTGAAGGTTTTGCGCTGGTGAGAGCCGACAAAATCCCGAAGCGTAAAGCATGGGGAGTAGCTCTATTCATTAGGAATACTATCCCATTTGCCATTATCCACAGTGTTTTCAATGTAAGTGGGATGTGTGAATTAATTAGTTGCCGCTTGAATTGCAAGGGTATGGTCTACCGCATTCCAAGCTGTGAGGTAAATACGGTCTTGCTAGGCACTCTCAATACTTGGTTACAAAGTAGTCGATGTCTAATCCTAAAAGACTTTATTGCACCTACAGTAGACTGAAAAAATCTGAGAACTGAGTTGTCAGAAAATTCCTTCAGTCAGGAACTGGTTGATGAAGTTATCACATGTGCTTTAGTGTAACACGTAAAATAAGCAACTAGGTATGACCCTGACTTTAAATCATCTTTACTAGATCTTATATTGACTCATTATGAGGAATGACGTCACGAACCTCCATTCCAAGCTATCCCTAGGTAAAAACGATCATGCAGCTCTAACCTTTGACTTCCATATGGTTCTCAAAGACGATCACACGTTAACTCAACCCAGACCTAAAGTCCGAAAAGCAAATATAGAAATTAAAAACTCAATATCCTTAGTAGATTTGACAGTAAAGCTACAGCCCACGACTGAAACAGCTTGCAATTTATTTCAAAACTCATACGTCAAAGTTACTGCTTCCCACATCTTTTGGACTACACCAAGGAGTCTGAGAAACTCTCCACCATAGTTCGGTAGGGAGGTTCGCACCCTTCTCCATAAAAAGAGAAGAATGTGGGAGAGATTTAGGTTTCTGGGTACTGATGAGACAAAACCTCAGTATCGAGAAGCTCGAAATACTTGTGCCTCGACCCTCCCTAAGTCCAGAAGATTGTACGAAGATAAAATTGTAAGGGAATCTATAGAATGCCCTAAACACTTGTATATAAATAAAAGGACTAAAAGAAGAGAAAATATTCCAGCACTATGGGGAGACAGTAATGCTTCATCACTAGTAGAAGACGACTACGGTTAAGCTCGAGTACTCTCAAACTACTCTAGCAATATATATACTGTAGAAAATCCCTTCCGGCCAGTTCACATAAATCCCTCCTACACACACTGGGCAACATGATCATTAAAGTGCTCGATGTCTTTGGTATGTTAAATAAGTTTGATATAGGCAAATCCACGGGACCCGATGAATTGTATCCTAGGTTACCAAGGGAACTTAATAACTTCGTTGCGAAGTATATGTTTAAATCCATCCGTAACGCAAGGTCGACTGGAAGAACGCCACAGCAAGTCCTGTCTTTAAAACAGGTACGAAACATAAATCTGGGAACTAGCCTAACCAGCGTGGTTGTTAAAATTTTAGAAAAAATTATTCCGAAGGAGCTGTTTAAGTATCTCAATGAAAACCGGATCCTTTTGGAAAAGCAGCATAGTTTTAAAATAGGTTATTCATGTTTCACTTACATATTAGTGGCTCGCGAAAGCTGGTGGGCTCTTAAAGATCAAAAGCTATCTGTAGACGTAACCTACATTGACTTAAGCAAAGCTTTTGACAAAGTTACTCACAATTGGCTGTTATATAAGTTAAGAAATGTCGAGGTTGGAGGCTGTCTATTAATGTTGATAAAGGACTTCCTATTTGGGCACCAATAAAGAGTACGGGTGAACTCCGAGTTGTTTAGCTGAGATACTGTGCTTAACGAATCGTCTAAGGGTACAGTTTTAAGGCCAGCGTTATTCCTACTGTGTGTGTAAATGACTCTCCTCGTCTGCTATCGTCATCAGTCTTTCTATATGCTGATGATATCAAGATATGGAGAGCGATAAGAAGTAAGTGTGATAGCCTAGAACTTCAACATAACCTGGAGAAATTATCTGAATGGTCTCAAACTTGGCTGTTGCCGATAAATTCTTCTAAGTGTATTGTGATGCATATTGGTCATCAAGGTACAGATACATACATGATGAATAACACTGAGTTACCTGTTGTTCAGACACACTGTGACTCAGGATTCATCTTGAGCCAAGACTTTTAAACTACTGAACACTTCCGTACAATAGCCACTAAAGGTTTTAGAACCCTATGACTAATACGTAAGGTCTTTAGTCATGTTGACGTTAAAACTTTTTTCACTTTGTGTACATTATTCGTGTGTTCTAAACTTGAGTACTGCAAACAAGCGGCTAGCTCATGTTTAAAGTAAGATAGTGAGCTTTTGGAAAGTGGTCAGAGAACAGCAACTAAACTGATTCCTAGAATAGCAAGGCTCTCATATGATGTTCGACTGGCTAACCTAAACCTATTCCTGTTGTCATATGGAAGAACTAGAGATGACCTATTTACATTTTTCAAATTACTTAGTGATAAATTTCCATCTGATATACCCTTGCTTTTGTCTTCCAAAACAGATAATTTACGTCGACACTCCAAAATAGTTCACAAGCCCAGAACAAATTACTTGTCAACTGACTATCGACTTTCCCATTGAATCATCAGCAAGTGGGATTCATTATCTCAACACGTGACTGAAGCTCCATCTGTTGAATCTTTCAAAATAAAGTTGGATCAACTGAGATATCATCAATGCCAGGACTAACACATGCCAACAAGCATCCTGTCCTTTGTAAACTCATACTGAAACTGATAATTCAACGTTTTTGTTTCCTTAGATTTCATGGGCTTAACAAATCATGTGATAAATGATTAACTCTGACTCTAATCACTGACAAATGTGGAAGATCATATCATTCCAACTTGAATTAATTGAAGAATTTTGATGAGTGTATTTCTATCGCTGTCATGAAAGCAAATAATCTTTTGACCCATCACACGCAATACTGTTTTGTTAAGTATTGCTAAGAAACATGAAGATTTTATAGATAGTTGATGGTTTTCTTATATGGTACAACATTTCCAATCTAAAATAAGAACATCTGAATTCTTGAAGAATGATTCCATATTATTAGCTTGCTCTTGAAACTTTAAATGCAATAGCACATTGAAAATCTTATTTTGCGTTTCATTTATATTTTGAAGCATCAGTTTAAATAAATATAGTCTACATCAGTAAGTAGATAACACAGATTTTAAGACAATACATATTGATAGTTGAAACAGTTTTCCATCAATACAATTAGAAAATTTACAAAATGAAATAAATGATTTAGGTTTACACAGTAATTTTGATTTTCAAATAAACTAACATAGCTTTTCGTAATATTATAAGTCGATCATTTGTACTAAGATCCTAATAATCACATTACTTAATTACTTAATTAATTGATATACGCTTTATATGCCATGGTTATAAAACATATGAGAATAGTTAATATTTTATAGCTACCATCAAAAGTAGTTTTACTATTCTTAATAATATTTTAAAAACGATTAAAAACCTGTTTATTACTTTAGCTAACTAAGTTACAAAAATTTATCATACGTTTATACTGAAGCGAATTATTACTATTGACAACTATTGTGATTACATCATAAGTGCCTTTAGACCTACTAATAGTTTATTCATATTGCTTGTACATTCATGTAAAATCTATTCGTACAACCCTCTTGTAGTTACTTACATCCTGTTATCCAGTGCGCTTCTCAAATCCAAACAAATAATCTTTTGATTGCGAATTGAGCTTTACAT